GACAACTGGGGCAGTGCATCACTATGCAAAGAGTTCCTGGTAAAGAGGTCTGCCTCAAGGCACTTGAAGCAGAACCAGCACTGGGCAGTCGCAACTGGAAAGATTTAAAGAATAATGTCCACAACTCCATCATGTCTCAAAAAAGGAAATTGTTGTAGTTCATTTTTAATTTATGTTGTTCAAATAAAGCCAGTTGCGACTAATTTTGTGTGCTAAATTGTTTATCAAGCTTCTATCAATGGAGTGGGTGAATTAAAATAGGTAAATCAAGATTAGAGGACTTTGACAAACATTGCTTTCAGTGTTACTGGTGTTAAGCAAACTTAGCAAGTGACATGTAAGATTGAAAAAACCTAAAGTTTAGATGTCTGCAAAACTACCCAGTTTTAAATGCAGAGATTCAGACCATATACCATTTTATAATACATTTTTTAACAGATGTAAATACAATCAAATTTAAATACACTTTACATTGGCAAAATTAAAAACCACATGCTTCCATCTCTGTAATGCTGTGGTTTGGGTTAACCAGGAAAGTAAGATGGGACTGCTAAAATCTGGTGATATAACATGCATTGCTTTGGTGCTTTGTGACAGAAGGTCCAGTTCATCAAATCTGCTTGGCAACAGGCTCCGGTCCTCACACGTGTAGAAGAAAAAGATTTTTTTTATTTCGAGTTTTCTGAATTCTGAAGTGACATTTTGATTCTCTATTGCCACCTCATGATAGATTTGTGTTTTGCACCATTTTAGCTATAGTAGAAGAGGTGGCCCTCACAAAGAAGTCACAGAACGTGGGCCACACAAAGGCATAAATACATACATGTATGTATGTGTGTGTGTGTGTGTGTGTGTGTGTGTGTGTGTTTGTGTATGTGTTAAAAAAAGAAACAAGGAACAAATAGTTGCCCTGAAGAGCCGACTGACAAAACCCTTAGTCAGGTACAGTCCTATTTAAATTGTTGAAAGTCAGGTCAATGATAGCATGAAACTGGGACCAAAATCAAACGAAGGTTTTTGCTGCAGGTTGCTCCTGTGTTTACCTGGGCAGTGCGGTGACTTTTCCCCACTTCTCCACACAAAACCTGCGTGGTCCATTGCTGCCTCGCAGAGAAGCAAAACCCTCGTAAGGAATACTGGACGTCCCGGTCACAAACTGAAGGCGCAGAGGAGACAGAAAGAGAGAAAAAGAGGAAGACAGAGTGACACAGAAGGTAAGAGAGAATAACAAGACTAAGAAGCTGAATAAGTAACACCATGCCTACCTGCAGAAGCCGTAGTCTCTGTTCATTGTTGAACCTCTCCACTGCCGCCCAGAACCACCGGATCACTATGTGGTTGTCATGGTAACCTAAACAAAACATATCAGGTCATGTAAATATACACAGAGTGCATTGTATAATACTGTGGGTCTTGATTATGATGACTATGGCTTTGTACAAAATCACTCCCTACTTACTATATAGTGTGTTCGCCCTGTTGTAGTGGTGTCCGGATACTGCGTGTGTAAATTTATCCACTAGATGGTGCACCCAAAAATTCTACATTGGAATGTAAAAAAGGAGTGTACATGGCATGCACACTACTTTCTGCTAACACCCCACAGTGCAACCCTCTTTGCTCAACTCTTTGTTGAGTTTTCCTTATAGCAGCGTAAGATCTACACCTGATTATCTAAAGTGCCCTGACACTGTTGTTGTTGTGACCTGGCGCTATACAAATTGTTATGGTTGTGTCCCCCTCACCAGGGGGTGAGGGAGAACAAAGGTAGGACTCAAGATGCAGACCCAGCTGCTAGTGGAAAAAAGGAATTTTAATATAGAACCCTACAGTAACGGAGTCAATGTAGTAGGGCAGTGATGGCTGAGAAGACCAGGACAAGCAGGTGAGTAGACAAAATAATGGCAGGAACCAGGAGAGTCGGGGGACCAAGACAGACAGGTGAAATAGACAATAACCAGGTGGATTAACTAACGCTGTTAGGGAAGCAGAGTAGCAAACGAAAAAAACAAGAATTCAACAGCACAGGAACTGTCAGCGTTGAAGTCAAGTTACGTATAGCTAAACACAAGTATACAACGTACTGAAAGATAATCAACTGCACAGGGACTGTCAGCGTTGGAAATCAAATCGCGTAACAACTGAAAAGCATTTAGATTAATTCATTTTATTTTATTTAATGCTCCGGCAACGACGGAGTGTCTGCCAGAGGTATAAATAAGGAAGCCAGTTAATCACAGGAATGCGCCTCAGCTGTGCGCTACAACCAACAAGTCACTGATTACCGAATGCGACACAGCTGAGGCGCCGATCCCGCAGGACAAGAGAGAGAAGAGAGGCAGGCCGCGCTGAGTGGACCTGACACAAATAAATTGAATTTTAATGCCCGCTTGAATTTTGAGGAACAGAGCTATTATTCATTCATTTTCTACCGCTTAGTCCCTGAACGGGGTCACGGCTGGCAATCAACGAAGGCGGGGTACACCCTGGACAGGTCGCCAATCCATCGCAGGGCTAACACATAGACGAACAACCACACACACGCACTCACTCCTATGGGCAATTTAGAAACACCAATCAACCTAAGCTGCATGTCTTTGGACTGTGGGAGGAAGCCGGAGAAAACCCACGCAAGCACGGGGAGAACATGTAAACTCTACACAGAAAGGTCCTGCATGGGTCCAATTTTGAAAACCTGCACAGCTCCGTATCAGACCCGACCCATACCCCTATTTAAAATAGACTTTAAGCTACACAATTGCTCACTTTAAAGTGCTTGAGAATTCTGTTCTTGGAAAAGTATCTTGATGGACACAGGACCAAGGCTCTGCAGCTGTTCCCTTAGAGAGGAAGTGCCTAGCTTGTGCCTATCAAACGCTAACACTTTTTGGCGATATTTACTGTGTTCATCACTGACTATTTCTGCTTTTAGGTTGACACCTAGCCAAAGTTTCTGAGTGCTGCCCTATTAGCTGGATGTGAGTTGAAGGATCAAAGGTTGTGCGATAGGCCTTCCCAATAAATGTATTGGTTATTTGGGCTTGATAAAATTATGCTGGATTAGATGTTTAAAAGATGTTTATTTGTTTATTTCACTTGCTAAATACACACATGGTGAGCAAACTACTCAGTACACATTATATAGACAATAGGGAATGAGTGATTCCAGACACAACCAGCATCAAACCAGAAACATTTCTGTCTAAACTAAATTTATCTAATCACAGCTAGGGTTTCCACCCTAATTTTGGGGGAAAATGAATGGGGAGGTATACCGATGCGTCAGGAAGGAGATCCAGTGACAATGTACCCGACAATTCGGTATCCCCCCATTGAGACCCCAAGTTCCCTTTAATACGTTTCGGACCCCCATGCAGTGACATAGGCCATTCTGGTGGGGGCCCTCTCGTAGCATTTCCTGCCATGGGGGGGGGCATTCCATTCCAATTCCCTCTTCGGAACCCCAACAATGAGGTTTCTGGGCTCCCGAATGACACGGTGTGATGTGCCCCGAACATTGCGGCTCTGGTGTGCCAAACGTCACGGGACCAATACAGCGGATTTTCCCGTGTAAAAGTGCTTAGGCTAGATTAACAGCGCCATAAAACGCTGCAGGGTGCTTTAAACCTGTGGAAAAATGCCATAAAACCCTCAAAAAACGTTTGAAAATAGCCAAAATTCAAGCTAGAAAATAATGACGGCGCTTATGACATTTGGAAATCCTTAGAATTAAGCCTCAGGGTTCCTAAACGTCACGAGAGCAAAGCAGCGGGTTTTTGACCGTGTAAAAGTGCTTTAAAAAGAGTAGCAGTGCCATCAAACGCTGCAGGATGCTTTAAAGGTTTGGACAAGTGCATTAAAGCTGTTCTAAACAGCAAACGCGCACACTTCAGTGTGGCGTGACATTTGGGCACCCCACAGGCTATTTCTGGGTTCCTAAACGTCACGAGACCAAAGCAGAGGATTTCCCCATGTAAAAAAGCTTAGGCTAGATTAACAGCGCCATAAAACGCTGCAGGGTGCTTTAAACCTGTGGAAAAGTGCCTTAAAACCCTCAAAAAACGTTTGGAAATAGCCAAAACTCAAGCTAGAAAGTAATGACGGCGCTTATGACATTTGGAAACCCTTAGAATTAAGCCTCAGGGTTCCGAAACGTCACGTGACCAAAGCAGGAGGATTTCCCCGTGTAAAAGCGCTTTAAAAAGAGTAGCAGTGCCATCAAACGCTGCAGGATGCTTTAAAGGTTTGGAAAAGTGCATTAAAACACAAGGGGTCATAAGAGGAAGAAAACTGTCAAAATGTTAATAAAAACAATGTACCAGGGCCTCCATAGTTTGAAAACTGTGAAAAACTAAAAAAAAATTTTTGGCTGAATTTTTGACCCTTTAGCACCTACAGTTTGGAAAAGTGCATTAAAACGTTTCTAAATAGCAAACACACACTTCAAGAAAGCGAGACAGTTGGGAACCCCGACAGGCCATGTTAAGTGTTCCGAAGTGTCAAAAAATGACTAAATAAATAAATGTATATAACAGAGGTGATAAAATAAAGAAGAAATAATTTTTGCCAAGAGAGGCGAACCCACGGGGTCCGCATGCAGGCACAGCACTTAACCCAGGGTGCTGAAGAGCCTGAATACAGACAAGTGAGCTCCAGTGTGCTTAAAACATGCCTCCCCTACTCGCAACACATGCTGCTCACAATGCTCTCTTTCCTCCTTCCGTACTTCACTGCTTGCATGGTAGTTGAAACTTGGCCAAAGGTCACATGAAACAGACAGCGAGACAGAGAGAGAGAGAGTGCATCTTGAAGACAGACAGCAAAAAATCTCTTTGAATTAACTACATCATTTTTATCAACCAAATATTCACCCAAAAAAAGTACAACAAAGTAGTTTTAAATAAAGTATTTATTTATTTTTGTATTTTATTTTTGTTATTTATTATTTGTTCATAATAACAGCTGTGAAAAATTGGTTTATTGTTGAAAGTGTTATTTTTATGGCAATTGTGATCATTTTGAACCATTTTGAAGTGTCACAGATGAGAGCTGCTAAGTGTGACTATATGACTATTAGCATGAAAATTGGAGGGGTTTAAGGCACTTTTCCACAGGTTTAAAGCACCCTGCAGCGTTTGGTGGCACATCTAATCTCATGTAAGCATATAAATGCACTTTTACACCGGGAAATACGCTGCTTTGGTCTGTGATGTCCTGGTTTCAGTTTTCGCTATTTCCAGCCGTTTTTTGAGGGGTTTAATGCACTTTTCCACAGGTTTAAAGCACCCTGCAGCGTTTTATGGCGCTGTTAATCTAGCCTAAGCACTTTTACACGGGAAAATCCTCTGCTTTGGTCTCGTGATGTTTGGGAATCCAGAAATAGCCTGTGGGGGTTCCGAACTGTCACGCCACACTGAAGTGTGCGTGTTTGCTATTTAGAACAGCTTTAATGCAATTTCCCACCATGTTAAAGCGCCCCTGGAGCGTTTGATGGCATTGATAATCTAACCTAAGCATATTAAAGCACTTTTACACGGGAAAATCATCTGTTTTGGTCTCGTGACGTTTAGGAACACATAAATAGCTTGTGGGGGTGCCCAAATGTCACGCCACACTGAAGTGTGCGTGTTTGCTATTTAGAACAGCTTTAATGCACTTTTCCAAACCTTTAAAGCATCCTGCAGCGTTTGATGGCACTGCTACTCTTTTTAAAGCACTTTTACACGGGAAAATCCTCTGTTTTGGTCTCGTGACGTTTAGGAACACATAAATAGCTTGTGGGGGTGCCAAATAATCTAGCCTAAGCACTTTTACACGGGAAAATCCTCTGCTTTTGTCAAAAACGCCTTATGACTTCCTGGTTTAAGTTTTGGCTATTTCCAGCTGTATTTTGAGGGTTTTATGGCACTTTTCTACAGGTTTAAAGCAACCTGCAGCGTTTTATGGCACTGCTAAATAAAGTAGTATAGTTTGCTATTTATTTTTCAGGTTATTTGTTCATAATAAGAGCTGTGAAAATTTGGTTTATTGTTGAAAGTGTTATTTTTATTTATTTTATTTTATTTTTATGGCACTTGTAATCATTTTGAACCTCTTTTACACATGCAGGGAGCTGCTTTGTTCCTGTGACATTCTGGAACCCAGACACCCCATTTTAGGGGTTTCCAAATGTCTCGACCAATCAGGAGTAGTCATAAATGCAAATTGCACACAAGGGCACAAATAAATGGTAACTGCCCGTGACCACTTGACCCATTTGTCAGAAAAGTTCCTTAAAAATTTAGTCAATGACTAAAAGGTTCCCAAAAGACACACCCTCCTGTCATAAAGTTTCCATCATGTCAGTGACAAATGAGAACATTGTCTAAAAGGTTCCTTTCTGTCTGCTGACAATCAAGGACCCGTGTTTGTCAAATGGGAACCCATATCCGATACGTCAGGTAAGTTCCCTTTTGTCTGTCAGAAAGGTTCCCGAAAGACACAAATTTGCTCCACCTGGTGGCCGAAAAGTGAACTTTGTCAAATGGGAACCCAAACTTTGGAATTTTGTAGCTCGGAGCACGAACGAGCAATCCGGAAAGTTGCGAGACCCTGCAAAACTACCGTTCCTGCTCTACGAAAATGACTGGTCCTGCGATTTTTAGCGGCACCGGTTATGCCCGTTAGGATGGATCAAAAAGTGGACCTCGGTTCCCTGAAGCCCCATTCAATGGGGTCCCGATTTGACTAGAGGACCCTGTAACCAGATCTGACATCTGACTGTCACTGCATTGTTGTAATAACAAACAAAAAAAAAACTGATGTAAATGTTTAAAATAAATTAAGCCCATTCATCCATCTCTCCATTCATACCTCCTCTGTACTCTGTATTGTTCCTCCAGTCTGTTAGGTCAATCTCAGCAGTGCCGGCAATCACCAGCTCCAGCTCCCTGGCATCAAAGACTGACACCAACCTGGCATCCACCACCTGGGGAACAAAATATTATACTGTACATATACTACAATCAAGTTGAAAGTCATATTGTTACGTCACGCTAATGCCGTACCTCATAGAAGCCCCTGACCAAGCTCTCAGTCTGCTGCACCACTCCTCTCTCTATTCTCCATTTAACCATGCGCTCGATATATTCTTTCTTGTTCCTTTCTGAGACAGGGATGTTGGCTCCACCAGGCTTCAGCTCTCTTTCTGTTATCTATGGCAACACACATATGCAATCAAAATGTACTTTTTCCTCTCTACGAATAGATAAAATGTAAATACATAATTGGTAGAAGTGTGTCACTTCCTTATCTGACACAAAAATATAAACACAATTGTACTAGGCTCCAGTGGCACAATCGGTTAGCGCGCGGTACTTATATGACAGTATTCAGCAAAGCGATGCCGAGGTTGTGAATTTGAGCCTCACCTGGAGCACAGCTTACATTCTGGAACCCAGACACCCCATTTTAGGGGTTTCCAAATGTCTCGACCAATCAGGAGTAGTCATAAATGCAAATTGCACACAAGGGCACAAATAAATGGTAACTAAATGAGAAGAAGAGGGCTTTCCTCTCAGGGGATAAGGAGGAGATAAGCAGGGTGCAGCGAGAACTAAAGTACATGATCTGGAGGTGCAAGGCTAGCTACAGGAAGAAGCTGGAGCAGAGCATGGAGAATAACAACGTGCATGAGGTGTGGAGAAGCCTGAAACACATCTCTGTCAAGGTAAAAGTGGAGCCCCCCCC